TATATATATATATGTATAATGTGCTGTCAGCAAATGTGCAACATATAATGTACCTGTAAATCGCAGGTGTATGAACTAATCACACTGAAAATTAGGGGTGTGATGAGATCTCATTGCACGGGATCTCACAATATTAAAACGTGACGATATTTCTCATCAAGGCAAAAGCTGTCTCACGATATCCGTACATAACAGAACCAGGCTAGTATGACGGAGTGTTACGATACGTTCACATTAGTCTGGAGAAAAAAAACAATCCCTGCTGTGTTTTAATGCACAGGGCTGCATTAGTTGGGGGTGAGGGGTTGCAGGGGGAGTGTTGTAGGCGTAATACAGCCACGTTGTGATGAGTTGATACAAGTGGCTTCATTCATGTTTCCAGCCCCCTAGTTACTACTGCGTTTTTTTGTTAGTCATGCTGCCAACGTAGCCTACTCTACCTTAGCACCAATTCTACCACCAGCGTGTTGGCATAGATGGAAAAAAAAACGGTTTAACATCTAGTACTAACAGAAATACACGTGTGCCGTTATGGTGTGATAACTGTGCCGAGATTCTACAGTGAATAGCAGTGAAGGCTCATGCTAACAAGGTAAACAAAAGAGTCCTCTTCCCCTGGTCGTCCACGTCCTGATTGTCCCCTGTACGTGACTGGTCAGTGCAGTGTCTTGGCCAGATGATGTCACTGTGCGGTAAGGGTAAAAGTAGCATAGAAGGTCACACGCAGCTTCAAATCGATGTTAGAAGCTCATGCATAGTTCATGCACAGTAATAAGGTCTGAGGAGACTCATGCGAAATCATACAGGAAAGAAGCCAGTCAGTTGAGTTTGTGGCCAAACCTTTTACAATGCTTGCATATTGTTCTGTCTTTTACTGCATATGATAATTCATACTCAAAGTAAAACTGAAGTGACAGTCATTACAAGATGATTAGTTAAAACATTTTAAAATGCATCTGCATTGTGTTGCATTTTGTGACTTTCAGTCAAATAAAATACTATTTTTCCTGTTATACATTTCATCATTAAAGATCTCTTTAAAATAGTGTTAAGATATCATCTCATAAAATGTTACTAAAGGCTAAAATACAGTTTTTAAAAGTGTGTCAGCCTAATAGCTGATTAGTCTTTTTTGAGTAAAAACATTCAGAAGAGTCAAAAATAACAAGCAAAGATTAGTTTTCTTTGTTTTCATTTGAGCACTAAATAAATTCTTTGCTGGTAAGGCTAATGATGCGATATAAAACATTTTTGGTTCTACTATTCTGGACATCTGGCATAATTTAGATTTGGAAGACAATATGGTTCTTCAGGTGACTAACAGCTCATCTTATAATGGCAATAATCAGGAACAGCAGTAACACTGATTAGTTTTCTTATCAGCAAATGAGTCTTAAAAGGTAACGTGAACCTGTCACTCTGTTCAGTGATTGATTTGTGTTTTAATATATCCTAGTGGTTGTTTTATGTATTTTATGGTCTGTGGTTTTTTTTGTCACAGCCTTCATTGTGGGTCTGGGAGAAATGTAATTTCAATCCTCTATGCCTTGTTCATATAGTAGAATTGACTTTGACTTAACCAATTCCTTCTTACAACCACTGGAAAACTATCACTACATTAAAACACTTGAACCAAATTATACAGTGTATTTTTTTATATTTACAGATCCCTAGTAAATCACTTGTGAAATACAAGCTGAGGATGAGTACAGTAGAAGCAAATAAAAAGACCTGATTTAATCTTCAGTCAGTATGTGTAGCATTGCTGTGCTTACCGTGCTGCTCTCCACATGGCTCTCTTCTCAGCCTCCAGTGCTCGTTTCTCAGCAGGGGACAAGTCCTTGTCAGGGGTCACAGCCAACTCTGGGCTTTGCATACGGAGTCTATCTTGATGTCTGCGCTCTGCTTTGGCTGTGCGGATGGGAGCCGCCGACTCCCCGGGGTACACTGGGATCAGACTGACATGACAGAGGAGGAGGAAGAGGAGTGATGAATACAGCGACAAACCCATCAGCACACAGACACTCGAGGATGTGTTACTGCACATTACCCAGTCATAGAGTTGGGCCTTTGCTCCAGCCTGAAGCTGTCCTCCAGTGAATTCCTCTGAGAGTCTCCCTTGCCATCAACAGAGGAGTGTCTACACACATGACCAACAATTAGCAAAATAAATGAAATGAGGAAAAGTTCACATAAAGCATCAATACTATACAAGTTCTTACCCCAAGCTGCTGCTATAGCTCTGTGGTGTGGAGCAGAGCTGAGATGGGGAGGATACTGGCTCCACCTTATACTCCACTCCATCCAGCAACACCTTGCCAGTGGCCTTCATCTGTGCCACCTGCTTAGCCAGGTCCTCCTCCTCATCCTCCTCCTCCTCATCATCAAGCAGGTATTCCCGTGCCCGCTGCTCAAACCTCCTCTCTGGGGTGAGATGAATGGACAGGGTTGTCACTTTTCAATCAGACGTTCATACTAGCAGTGGAGGCTCAAGAAAAGACCGTGGAAACAAACCTTCTTCCTCCCTCATTTTCTTGAGGTCATCCTCTCCGACGAGTGAGACTCGAGGTTTGGGCTTGTCTGGTGTCTGCTGCTTCATGTCAATCTCAAAATACTTCTGCCTGTCCCTGAAGGAGCGCTGCTCTGGGCTGTTCTTGCCTCCAGGAGAAGGACTCTGTAGGGTTACAAGGAAAGTCAAGGCCAAAATATGAAATCATAAACGTTAGAATACATGAGAGCACCTTATACATCCCTAAATGACAGAAGAGCAAAAAAAAGGCAAGAATTTGCTTCTAAATGGTTCTTTGCAGAGCCATTTGCCAAAAGAGATGGGGATATCACAACAGACATCCAAGAAAAAAAGTATCACAGACCAAGAAGAAAGAGAAAGATAAATCAGAAGCCAGCACTATTTAGCTGATTTAAGGTTAACTGGCAGTCCCGCTATTGACAGAAGCAGCACGGCTGTTTCCCAGGTTGTGGGAGTAGAGACACCACCACCGATCAAGCCAAGCATGCCACAGCCCAGAGGAACGGGGCTGCCCCAGCTGTGATGGGGGCAGTGGATACCTGCAGTTCCATTGAGGGCCTAGAGAAGCGAGGCACTGCTGCCAGGCTCATATACTCCTGACGGTCAGATGTAAGGGAGGGCCGGGGGGAGACCTCGCTGGTCAGACCCTTGTCAGCTCCCTTCTGACCATCTATGCCATCATCAAACACCTCGTTGTGCAACTCAGGCTGAAAAAGCCACAAAGGTTGTCACCAGGCTGTCAGACTGAGATGAGTAAGATCCACTAGGCTTTTTAAGGCTTTACAGTACACTGGGAGCAGTTTGCAGATGACTGTAGATTCAGTAATCACTTGTTAAATATTGGCCCAAATGTACACAAGTCTAACCATAAGACTGATTGTTGGCTCAAAACCAACCTCTTGAGCCTGCCTTTTCATCTGAATATTTAAGGTCATTGTTTGACTTATTTTTTATTGTGTTCATAACTTCAAATGTTTTAATTCCATTTTACCCATTTATTATGTCAATTTGTATCCATTTTATTTTCAATAGTTCTATTTCTGTTATGCATTCACTCTCAAAAAGTTTGACAGTTTATAGCAGTACTGTCTTCTCATTGTGAAAGATGCTATACAACTATTTCATTTGAACATGGTCTAATCCTACATTAAAGTTGTCAGGAGAGGCTTTTGACTCTTTTTTTTTTTTGCAAGTCAGGAATTAATTTCTTCTGTGGGAACAAGACACCACCCAACATGCTGCACACTCCTCACTGACCAAGCAACATTAAGACTCTAAAGAGCTCATCGTCAACAGCGCCGCTTCCCTCACAAAGTATGTCTAATGTTCTGTCTAGTCCTTGAGTAAAATATAACCTCAAATCTTTTTCAGTTCATTTTATGTTCGAGACAATACAGAACAACAGCTGTGCTTTTAATATGGTTTGTTTCTCACCTCTGGAGAAGGGTACTTTGGGTGGAAGTTGTTCCTCGCAGCATATGGGTCCTGTTGGGCAGAGTAAAGGGTTAGTACAATAAAGGAGACTTTGACTCAAAGTCAGAGGTACAGAGCAGGCAGGCTAAGTAGCTGAAATATCATATGTAAAATAAGGGGACCGATTAGTACATGAGCCACACACGGATGGATGAATGGATCAACAGTCAACACCAGCATGACAGATGATGGCAACGGAGTACAACGATGAATGCATTCCACAGGCCCCCCTGACACTGTGCAGACTCCTTATAGGTCAGACTGCTGTAGTCAGGATAGGGGGCAGGACGAGACCAACCAATCAGCACAGCATGCTTGTATTTTTGTGACCCGGAAGAGTCCAGGCGGCGCGGCCTACCTGCAGCGGTTCCAGCACTGCCAGCGAGCGAGGCACAGCGGCAAACGCCTTGTATGCCTGCTTGACATTCATAGGGAACTCGTCGGGCGAGGTAGGGGAGGGGGCGCAAGGCTGCAGGGAGGAGGGACGGGAGTGGGTGGGTGTGGAGGATGGGGAGGTCCATGTGGTAAAGGCAAGGGGGAGAAGAGGAGGTAGGGAGGACAGACAGACACAGACATGGAGGAGAGGGTAGACTATGAAATAAACAGCCAAGTTGAAGAAGACCGGAGGAGAACAGGTGAGGAGCGTGGCAGTTGGTTTCATGTGAGAGGTGGAGTTTGTCAGATTAAGACAGACAGTAGGGCCTTGAAAACTCAAAGCCATAACAGATTTTTCTGTATGAAACAGTCAGGACACGAGATAAAATCATAGCCTCTTCCTTGTGTACTGGTACAACTATGCTGCAATGTGAACAATTCAGAAGGCTGCAATTACAAGTTCGGCTCACACATTCGTAACATCCAGGTGTACCGGGGGGTGTCACAGACAGCAGCACCTGCACAGTCTCCTCTCCCCTGTGCAATCAAATACAAATCTTCCTTTCTTTGGTTCTAGCCTCATTCAGAACCAAAAATCCTCCTCATGCATAATTATCTGTATCTTTTGTATAGCAGGTAGACACCATTTTGAGTGTTTTGGGGTTATGCAGTCACAGCAGGCAGCACAGAGTTGAGAGCAGGTGGAAAACCTAAGTTGTAGTGAAAGGTCTTACAGAGGTCTGGGAGTTGAAGGGGGAGGGGCCATGCTGGAAGGGGTTGGGGCTGTGGCCGTCCGGAGTGGCAGGTGAGGTACTGGCCCACACACGACCTACTGGCTGGATTGCACCCGGTCGTGTCTGGAGGAAAAACAAAAAACAAGAACAAATGATATTCAACATAAGAGTCGAAAAAAGCTAACTTTGCAATGAATAACAACTTAAAGAGAACGAAGTTAATGGTGCATGCATCTGAGCACAGAGTACCATTCAGATAATGTCTATGGCATTTGAAAAATCAGTACCAACTGGTCCTGAAGAACAATACCCAAAATCCAATCAATGTTTATCTTTACAATCTTTGTTTTTGTAAGCTATTTATTTTTTATACTTGTTACAAGCATCTAGTATCACTCCAGTTAGCACAGCTAACAGTACAAAACAGAAAAACTACTCTGAAATGAGCAAATTAGAGGACTAGAAATAAACAATGTAAATATTGTACTCCTCATTGGGCTGCACATGTAATCACTCATTTTCTGATAATACTGGCTTAATGTACTGGTAACCCAGTACAACCAGTTCCAACTCTAAGGTTGTTTTCAGGCTCCACAGACACTCACTGATGATGAAGTGTTGTCCTTGGCTGTGGAGGTAGTGTAATGAATGTTTGCCTGCAAAAAATTAAAACAATAAAACAATGATAATGAAATAAAAAATGTATGGATGATCAGAATGATCTCAACCTACAGCACATTCAGGCACTTAATTTTGAATAATGGGGCTTCTTTAGGATGATGCCAAGCAAAGTAAAGACACCTGTCAAACAATGCATTGCCACCTTGAGCCAATGTAATCACCAGCTGAGGACCTTTTGTCACACTTTTTAATTCTTCCTATAAATTATACACCTAATATTTGAACTAGACTGGTAACATAATTCTGCTGAAGGAAATCTTTACTGTGAAACAAGAGTGCCCCCTGCCACTCAAGCCATAGCTGGTCAGTAAGACATGAAGGACAATCAGAAATTTGTCAACAAATAATAGACATCCAATCTCGCAAAGCATGAGAAATTAGCTGGCCATGGAAGAAGCAGTCACGCTTTTCAGACTGGTAGGACTGTAGCAGACATGGTGGCTGAACCTGTTATGCTGTATTAACAGATAAAAAGCTCAGAGTTGCCAGCACTTGCTAAAACAACATCCAGGCCAGTGCACAGAGGGCTATGACACCCACTTACAAAGCGTGTCTCCCTGCCTGTACACAGTGAGCTGTTGGAAGAGTGGTGGCTGGGCTAAGGGCGGGAGAAGGTCAGAAGGGTCAGCTGTAAAATACCTCTTCTACAGAGCTACAAGTGCTTCATGGAAAAGGTGAAGTAAAATAAAGTAGAGATAAAGCATGATTAACAATGGAGAGTGCTCAGTGTTGGGGCTGCTCACCGGTTGGATAGTGGGGGAGTACGGTGCTTCTCTGATTGGACTCTCCGTCCTGGAAAAATCAGAGGAAGGCGTCTGGAAAAAAAAAAACAAAACAAACAGCTGCCCTTACTTTGACTCAGTGCACTGTCAAAACAGTGAAGGAAAGAAACAGCAAAAACATTCACTGGTTAGTCCTTTAGTGAACTCATCTTTCAGTAAATTCAACCAACAACAAGCTCCTGCTGATCGACATGCACTTTTCTGTGTGTCTTGCAGGTCGTGCGCCTTCCTGACGTATGACCTTCCTCGCAGCTGTTGGGACAGACATTCCAGTCGATCCCGACCCGTAGTGTAGTCAGGACCTCACAAAACGCTGCTAGCTCGGTTCTCACAGCAAAACCATGCACCTGTTCAGCTGGTTATCGCACTAAGATTAATACACACAAATGTGGACACACACTTGCTTAGATTATCAACACTGTTGCCAATTCATTTTCTGTCATCCGACCAATCATTGCCAATCTGCACTGATCCTTAAAATACAGTAGAGTCCGCTTGTTTCTGTACAGTGCTTTAGAGACACATCAACCATCAGCATGACTTAAAACTTCTATGATCGAGTTTAGGGGACACAAATGAGCAGTAACACACCATGCTGCCTCCAAACCACACTTAGGCAGCAGTCTTGCCTTGCTGAACAACCAGGGCTGCAGCTGGCCTCGTCTCCCGTAGCCCACAGGAGGCCCTGACAGGATCTGCTCTCCAGGAGGAAGGCCTCTTCCTTTGCGGTTGGCCACCAAGAAAGGGTTCTCTTGGAAGCAGATAGACTGAGAGTCCACCAGGCATTCATCTTCTTCAGGCTCAAGTGATGATGTCAGATTAATGGGTGCCGAGGAGCCAGCGCTGTCAGCAGTTGAGGTCCTGTTAGAAGAAAGCTGGGATTCATGAAGATAACTGTGCTCGGTGTTCAAAGCAGGGTGGGAGTCCGGGTCCATGTGGCTCAGAGGATTTGTGGGGTGACCTAAGCTGCAGCCCAGAGGCTGTGAAGGGGCTCTGTAGTGTGTCTGCAGGGGTGCCTCCATGGGGGGAGTCAGAGTAACACAAGTAGAAAACTGAACGGAAGCAAAGAGGGAGGACAGATATAGAAAAGTGACATAATGAAGCTGCACTCACTCAAGCTGTAACTCACATGAAGGGCATTATTGCTAGTTTTTAAAACAACAGTGGAGAAACTAAACTAGAATCATCCTGATTTATTACAACTTGCCTCACAGGAGCCGTCATTATTTAGGGTATGATAAACTTGTTCTTATCATAGTTATTGCTGAGATCTGTCACTACAGAGCTAATCAGGGCTAAAACTTCACAATTTAATCTGGAGGTAAAGCTGGTGCAGCAGTGTCAGATGTGCTTACTTTCATCACTCCATGCACAGAAAAACAGGGTGTCACAAATACAGTTAGTGAAAGCTGGTATAGGAAGTCAAATGTTTTGAGTAACATCTGTCCTGTTCATCATCGATTTCTCTTCCAAGTTTGGCTTCTCTTATAACCTGCCTACTTGTCTCTTTCTTGAAAATTTCCCACAGGTCAAGATCAATGTCCAGTCCAAAATCCAAAAATGCAGAGGAATTTATTTGACATGTTCTTGTCAGATCTGGTGATATATTCACAATAGTCAGACTGAGGATAAAACGTGACGTTCTACATGGCTACTGTAAAAGTCAGTGGTCAGATGAGGGTCAGTGGGTTGGAATGTGTGCACCGACAGACTGTGAGGGACAGCTGGGGCTCTGGAGAGTGAGGCTGCTAGTTCACCAGCATGCCGACATGCAGAGTGAGCCATGCTGAGGAGAGCTGTGAGTCAATGGAACACGATACTGTGACTCGAGCAATGGATAATTTAGTTTTGAACGGCAGAATTTTTCTTTTTGACATGTAAAATAAACATCATTGTGAACCGCTTCTCAGAAAAGCATTTAGCTAAAAGGTTTTCAAAGTAACATGAAACTAACTTATTTAAAAAGTTCTTTCCTAAAACAATGGCATTGTTTTTGTGTCCTAATTTTTCTATGATACCTCACTTGTTACAACATTCACTGTAAACCCTCATTAACCTGAGTTAAAATCTGAATAGAAGAATCTGAGGATTCTGGGACTAGCTATAGAACAGCATTATGGGGGGGGGGGATTCAGATGTTAATACACAAGAAACCTAGTCTTAGTGTGTCACTAAACATAGAGTCTGGGCAGGACCACGGGCTGGATCAGAAAATCCAGCTCTAATGCACCGTGCATGAACAGCTGCATATGAAATGTAGGTTAGGTTCTGCCAGACAACCTGAGGGGCCAGAAATCTAAGAGTAGGGCAAACATTTCTGGTGTAAGTTTACCCAGTTTGTAATATGTTACTGAGACCCAAATGTTGGTAAAGGAAATATAATACATCTTTAGTACTCAGTGTTTTTTGAAGATATGTATTTAAGAGTGAGCAATGGAACAGAAAAGCAGTTCCTTTTGGTGGTACATTTTAAAGAACTTAAAAGTACAAGAAATGTCTTAAACTAAGTCAAAATCTTCACAATGTTAACAAAACACATCCACAGGTATGAAGATAACGATAAGCAGGAATCAATGACAGAAGCAGAGACAAACACAAGAAAGAGGAAAGGAAAAATTTAAAAGCTAAAACTCTTTGTCCACTGAACATCTTCATACTCACCGTATGGTGCAAGATGTACTGAATGTCTACTCAGCCTTACTCCTCCGAGGACTCTGGGAACTCAGAATGAAACACTTGTCTGTTCCTCTCAGACGACCCCCTCCCTCCTGCTCTGTCTGGCGTCACACCCACCCAAGAGACTCCATCCAATTCTGAGCCAGATGCAGGTTTAAAATATCACAGAGGAGAGGCAGCTGTCCCCTTCCCCCACCTCTTTCTCGCATACTCGCACTCTTTTTAATCAGTCAGGACTGTAGCTGCCCTTTGGCCACACTTCCTTTCATTTCCACCTTCCTCTGTATTGTGCATACACTTCCATTCATTTCTGGTCTTCACATTGTTTTTCCAAACTTCCTGACTGGTCCTTTGCTCTTCATGTTATGCCTTCAATCCAAAGTGGTCACATCACTGTTGATCCATGTTACATCAGTTACATCACACTGGTTTGATATGTTGTACAGCCTTGGCATAAAGTTACAAGTCAGTAATATTGACTACGGGTTAAGCACATGT